CTGCTTTCTGTGGTTGTGAACCACCTCCGGGTAGGAAGCTGTGGTGTCTGCTCTGCTGGCTCAGACAGTGTCCACCGCAGGCTCTTGGTGGAACTAAGACAACTCGAGATGACTCTATGTGAGTCTGAGCTGGACTTCTGGCCTAGAACATTCTTTCTATTCTGCTGCTATTGAAATCAAGAATGAATTTCTGGAATTACCCCCAAAGAATCTCTAGTGGGTGGAAAGGACAAGAGATGTGGATGAATGCAGCTGCACAGGCACTGGAACGTAGACTTTGGGGATCTACTGAAGATTCAAAATCATGTTGCTCTTCTTCAGTGGCTCTTCAGAGAAAATGAAAAAAGAGGTAACACTGTTTTCCCTGTCCCACTGCCTGCCACCTCCCAGCTGCTGCAGCATCTTAGTGGCACACATCATTAAAAAAAAATGGGGGAGATGACAGCTCTCCTGGGGACAAATGGAAATGTGGAGCGGTTACTCTATTACCCCCTGGTTTGCTTTCTCAGGACCGCCCCAGTGCACAATGGAGGCTCCAGACTCCCCTGCACGGTCACTCTGTTCCCACGGAAATGACAATGGCCAAAGAGAAATCTTCACCCTTTGAAACCTTTGGCAAGATGGATGACAGCATGATGGAAGGAGAAAGTACCCTGAGTGCCTTATCGATCCACCTGACAGCCCTTGAATTGTGGGTAATAAAAATTTATTGAAAATTAGAAAAAAATGCCGCTGATTCTAATTCTTTTAAAAGGGAGCACTGATGTTGCATATAGATAACCTCCTTCCCCCTTCCACAGGGCTCAGTCACCATCCTCCCACCAGCCAACCCTCCCCTCCGAGCAGCACAGTTTTAAAAATCTTGCAATTTTATTTGCATATAAAGGCCGCTAGATATAGAATATCACAATAAATTTAAAGAAACAGCTGCTTTCCTAAATTTCATTAACAAGGTAACATAAAATAGAATAAAGCTCAACAGCATTTACAATGGGAAAACAGAAATGACTATTAGCGACAATATTTTGTGCTAGCGAAGATTGCATCGACACACAGTGCAAAATGGGGGGCGGGAGAGGAAGTAAGAAGACAATTCAGGGCATTTAAATAGAAAGGACAACTAAGCCTTATTTTCGTTAGCTTCCATTGCATCCATTTAAGTCTATACACGCCTGTAACTGTACCTAGATTTGACTCAAGCTCTTTAAGACCTTGAGTTCTGAGAAAGTATGTGAGCTCCTCAGCCTTCGGATGCCTTGCTATATACAGCATCCCTTGCAGCTCTACCATCCTTGGCAATAGTAAACTCCTAACTTAGTCATAATACACAAAAAAATACTTATATATATAAACCCATATTTAAAAAGGAGTCTTGCACACTCTTTTTCTGCACTGCATGAAATACCTGCTCTTGACAGATTCCATTTCCATATTCTTAAAGCTAAAATAATTTAAAAGCAACAAACAAGGAGGCCTTGTATAGCCACAGTATGGATCTCACTAGCTAAGCCATCCTTTAAAACGTGGGCTGGTTTCTTCCCTCGACACAACTTTCTTTCGAGGGCGAGTGTGAGGGGAAGTCTATTTCTTTAGTTGAAAGATTCACATAAATCTGGGCCCCATCTGCAGAAAAGAAGCATGACCAAGAAAACAATAATAACAGAACATCAAAAAAAAAAAAACCAAAAAAAAAACAGTTCAAACAATACTCTTAAACAGTTGTGCAAATCTGGTTGGTTTTTAAAACACTGCCTACCTGTTTTCTTCTTTCTTCCAGCTTAAAGCATATTAAAATAAGACTTTTTTTTTTTTTATCACCTTTTAAAAAGAAAGCTTGGCTGTCCTTTGGCGAGCACTAACAATTTACAATGGCGTGGCCTTTGAGAAAACAGAAGTCATTTTACAAATTCACAATGCTCCTCTGATTTCAAATGGATACCCCATTAAAAAATAATAATAAAGAAGAAGCACAACCTCTAGTATCATTTTTTGTTGTTGTTGTTCCAGCAATTTACAAAAAGAACTCACAGGATTTGGAAATAAACAAAGTCAGAGAATGTAAATGTATAATTAGAAAAAATGGCAGTTTATAGACCTTCCTTCACATTCCAGTTGGGCATCCAGAGCTTCAGGAATTCTGTGGGTTTGGGAGGTCAAATATAATTGGAGGGTTGGTCGGTTGAAAGCTGACTGTACACGTTGAGGCATTGATGTAGGTTGTGTAACCGTCGGTCATGATGCCGTAACCTGTGGGGAGACAGTGTCACGCTTACTGCCATATACACAGGTAACAGTGATTCAATGCAGGGCCATCAGGCAAGGAAAACAAAACAATCTTTGCCAGTGGGATGTGAGACGACATTCACTGGAGCCTCCTCAGACATAACCGCTTTCAGAAGCGGCCTCCAGATTTTATCCTACTTTCTTAAAAAGGAGAATTCTCTACTTCAAAGAAAAGTGTCGACCCCCTCCCCTCCCTATTTAAATACTAGATGTCAGGAAAAGGGCTGTAAAATGTCTTTACTAGGAAGAATGTAAAAATATAAAAAAATTTCCCCCTCTTTTCAGAATAGGATTTTCATTCCAAAGCCTTATGCCCAAGAACTGCTGAGTTCTAGGAGCTGAATGAGTAACATAAACTCAGGGACACAGCCACCCACACCCCACTAGACTTCCAGATGAGCGAAGGAGAGGAAGCTACGAAATAATATCTACACTGCCTCTATGGAAGAAAATAAGAAGGGAGCCTATCTTACTTGAACTGTGTGGCTTGGATCTGAATTCCATTTCATTCAAAAGAGTCAAGTAATCAAAGGTCCAAGTGACTTGGAGAAACATCACATAAGACACAGCTTCTTAAGCTCACCTGGACACCAGCTTACACTAAAACACTTCCCATGGGCAGTAAATCCCCTGTGACCTACTGGAAGAGAGCTAGGACAGTTTCTCTAGGTCTTTGGTATGTACAAATCCTTTTATAATGTTTAACACGTTGGAAGTTTCAGCATGTTTGCCGATTTGCACATTTCCCTGGCTACCTTATTTGCTGAGAGCCACTGCAATGAAGTGTGTAACTCTATGTTGCTATCAGGCTTCACGGCGCTAAAAAATATGCCTTTGCAAAAATAAAATGACCAGGACTTACAGAAATAACTGAAAAGGATTTTTTTTTTTCCTCTCTCCCCCTTTCAAATTGCTACAATTTCTCCAAGTGAGCCTGTGGAGAGCTTAATGAGGGTCAATGGAAAACTCTCTTAAGAAAAGAAAAGAGGCATTTAAACTGTGCACTGTTTAGTTCCGGGGTCAGAAAGTCTTGTTATCTCTCTCCATCAGGAGGCTGGTATTTGCCCTCTCTCTGCCCTCTTCGGCTGTCTTAAGAGAATAAAATCGAGACAAGTTTATTTGAATATAATCTCTTTTCTCTTTAAGCAAGGTTATTATTTTGGGACTTCAGTGGAATGCCCCAATTGTCTGGATAGTTTAAAGCTAATAAATGATTAAAAAGAAAAGAAAAAAAAAGCTGAAATGCAAACCCATAGGCATGCTGCAGGAATCCAAACTTTATCACTGCCCCTAGAAATGCTGTTTAGACATGAACTCCCATGTCCCCAACCCCACATCATGCATCAAGCCTTAGAGAGAAGTGTGCTCCCACAGCTCGGTCAGGGCAGGGTGACACACACCCTTGGGGAGCTGCACCCCTGCTTTCTATCCACTCAGCTGGGGCCTGCCCTTGGAGCTCACTTACTCTCTCTGGCCTCAGTAGGATGGCTTCCAATATGCTCTTTATTACCTGCCTAAACCAGGAAGGCACTGGATTTGTGGGCTTTGAAAAGCAAACATATTTGTGGGTTTGTTTTTGCTTCATTGGGCACACAGACCTAAACACCTCAAATGCAGATTTCTGAATAACTTTAGAGAACAGCTATGCACAGGAGATGGAGAGAATATGGTGGTTGCCTCAGTACACATACCCTTTGCACAAGACGTGTGTAACTGGGAGAGTGCAGCAGGGCCAGAAAATCAAAGGCCCAGGAAAGAGGGCTCAGTTCCCACTGGTTTGCAAAAACGGAGGACAGACAAAATCTAGTGGAGGTCCCTTTCAGGTTCCGTGAACTTGACTCCAGCTTACTCGGAAAAGCAGAAAGTGGTAACTGGACCAGTTCCCATTTAGGGAAGATTTAATTATTCTGTTTAACCTCAGCCGGAGCTAATAGTGCTAACGATTTCTGAGAAGTCTGAAATGGTTTCCTGAGGTTAGCAAGAAAATTTCTACGTGCATATGTACTGGTTCCTGCCATTTCGTTCTACAGCTCTCTCTGCACGTCCAAAGTGTGTGTGTGTGTGTGTTTATTTCAGAGAGGAAGGGAGATGGTGAGAGAGATAGAAACATCAGTGACAAGAGAGAAACATTGATTGGCTGCCTCCTGTATTCCCCCCACATGGGGTCAAGCCCACAACCCAGGCATGTGCCCTGACCAGGAATTGAACCATGACCTCCTGGTTCATAGGTCCATGCTCAACCACTGAGTCATGCTGGTTAGTTTTTGAAGGCTGTCTTGTTTTCCTAAGTTGCTGTGAAACTCGGTATGCAGAAGTAAGAAGAGGCCATGGGAGTTATTTACTAGTAGTCTAACAATCTTGAAGAAAAAAAGCTGTCCTTTATACTTCACGGCTGTTCTACTGCAGTAGTTATCAAAAATTCATCATCAGAACCCCAAACCCCAGAAGCTGTCTGGGAGAAGTCTGGGTTTTCTATAAGGTGGGCCAGACACCTGGTTCCTTCTCTCTGTTTAAAATAGAGTGGCTCCATATAAAATATTTATCAGCTTATGTTCGGGTGTTTCTCCTAACATTTTATGTGCTGAAAGGGTTCCACTGGTAGAAAGAGTTTGAAAACCACTGCTCCAGTGACTCCCCGGGCGGCCAAGAGCCCCACTGTGGAAAGAGATCACGGGTCATGACACAACATGTCCTGAACTCCTTTCTTCTGGTCTTACCTTCGTGAATTCCGCCAAACACGTGGAGCTTGGGCCGGACTCGCCTCTGCACTGTGTTTAAGAGCTCCACGCAGCCCACTCTCTGAAGCTCCTTTGGAACCCAGTCTCGAAAACCTAAGGGCAAAATGCAATCAATACTCTTCATTTTCTTTCTTCAGGTAAGGCTTCATTTAGACTTTCAGGAAGCCATAACTCACAGAAGGTTTATTACATTATCTGTAATCCTAGCCTCCCCATTAAAGCTCACAATGGCTTTTAAGGACTTTCACTCATCACTTTGTCTTCTTTAGGTTCTTGAAAAAAAATTTTTGGGGTTTCCTTTTTCTTTTCCCCCCCTTCCTGTTAATTAACTCCCCCCCCCCCCCATGAGGGATTTGATTTATTCAGCCATGGGTTTCAAATCTTCTTCATGAGCCCAATGACATTTATTCCCGGCAGTTCCATATCTCTTTGTCTCCCAATTCCATTCCTTTCCTTTTTGATTATACCTTAGCAGTTTACTTCCAAGATAATTCGGAGAAGACAATGTGGGAGGCACTGCCTGCCAACTGGCCACAGGATACCTGCTCTCTTTAGACACATCTTAACCCTTCCAGGTTCCTGATGACCTAAGCTTGGGAACGCCATGTTCCTCCTCCTCCAGCCTCCTCTCTAACGATAGGCAACAATGATGACCTTGCGATGGCAAGCAGGGCACCAGGGCTAATTGCTTATCCTTATGTAAAAGCCACTTAGTTCTACACTTAATGCAGAAAATCCATAAAAACTGACATCAATTATAGCAAAAGTCAGCTATTTGAATGATTATGATCCACATGCCTCAACAGGATGGGGCATCAAGAAGGCAGGTGAGATGAAAGGCTAAATCATAATCAGTGGGAATCCATTCCATACCTCCATTAGGTGATTTCTATTATTTAGAAATGATACAGCACAAAGGGACAGACAAGTTTATCCCACTTTGGCGAGACTGGGGAAATGAAGATTTAGCATCTCTGCAAAGACACGTTCCCTGGAGTGTGGGCAATGGCTAGAGAGTCTGGGAAGAACATCAGATAAAAGTGGGGGCCCCACAAAAACCCTACGGTGGGTTTGAAACTTTGTTAATGAGAGGAGAAAGTCCTTAGTTCACAGCAATTTGCATATTCCCTGTTCTTTCGTGGATGTGTTTTTCTTGAAGGGGGTAGAGACCTCATTTCATATATAATATCCAGAGAAAACACCTTATTCACAACATAATAATAAAGTCCTATATTGTGGTGGCTTCCCTTCCCCCAAGGGGAAATTTCAAGGTCAACCCCCAACCCCTAACCCCCACTCCCATCTCCCAATCCAGCATTTGCATAAGAATTCCAATCACTGTACTTTTATTTTGGAACTCCAGAGCTTAATGGACTCTAAGCACAGCCACTCTCTGGACACTTCATTTTTACTACAAAGAGAGAGATGGTAGCCCCCCTTATAAGGACACCTAAATTCTCAGGAGGCTAGAATTCAGCCTCACTGATATTGCCACTTACTTTTGCACCAAAATTAATGACTTGATGAAATCTGTGGATCACTCCATCTGTCCAAAGATATATTCTGAATAAAACTTCAGGCATGTAAATGCTGAGGATGCCCAAGTCCCTTCCAGTAAACAGCCAATGGGGAATCATGCCTGTACCCAACCACGCTGCTTGGGGAAAGCACCAAGTTGGCTGGGATGCCATCCCTGGAGGATCTCACTGGGTAACTCAGATATTTCACTACAGCAACTTACAGCTGTAGTTAGTCTCTAACATTGCAAAATACGGAAATGAATTAGTTTTGACTTGATAAAGATTGTGCATAAGTAAAATCTTTTAAACTATGGGATGGGGTACTCTGGAAGAGGGAAAAAGCACGGGCATTGTGGTTCTGAAGCATTGAAAACACCAGAAGTGTACAAATCTATGCTCGCCCATCTGCAACAGACCTGGCGCCCTTCTTCTGCTTTTCCAGCATTGAAATGTGCCACCAGCTCATGGCCTGGCTCGCCTTTCTGCCATGTCCTTGTGGCACACAGAACACTGTAATGGCGGGAAAGCAGCACTCAGCTGTTTGGTGGCGAAAATATCCACAAAGATTAAATTCTTATTAGGGGATGACTGTTAGATTTTTATTTTGGGGGCTCATAGAGGAAGAAAGTGACGTGGGTAACGACCCCAAACCGCAGGGAAAAAGTTGATAAAATCACTTATTTCTGTAGTAAGTGTTCCCCAGCCTCTACTTTCCAAATCAATGTGATTGAGAAAACTTTTCTAGTAGACCTACACATTTGTTAAGAGGGTATGTGTTTCTTTGTTGTTTTTACCACAATTTGGAAAGAAAATTCTCCTACTAATAGGGAAGCACCTGAACTTTCTGAGCACAACTTAGTTTGACGAGGGAGGGTCCTGAGTAGATGGGGGGTTAAGATGGTAGTCATGTTTGGAAAATCTTTGTGGCTAAGCCATACCATTCACAAGCTCAAGAATAACTAGAGGATATTATGTAAATCAAATGGTCAGCTTTTGCCTTTTGACCTATAATCTGGGTAACCAAAGGTGGCCTGGAAGCACCTCGGCAATCTACACCTGGATGCGGGCTCCATATATGTATAGGCTGAGCATCCTTAAGTAAAATTCAACCTAAGTCCGCATGTAACACCTTAGCCAAAAGAAATAATGAAAAGGTCCTTTTCTCACATAATCAGCAAACTTTAAAGATTTCCCAGGTATACTATGATATGGAAAAAAAATAAAGAGCTTCTTTACGCAAAAGTTTCCTTCATTTCACTATCAAGCAAAAGCCCCATGATTGAAAAATTCCTGTCTTCCTTCCATTTCCCATCCCCTTACTCCAAAGTGAATACACTTCTTAAAATAAATTATCGAGCTCAAAAGACTGTGGCGCTCCATACTCATTTGATTTTCCCTGACTTGACTAATTCAAAAAATTTAATTTCAAGAACACCTGTAAGCCCAGCAGAACTGCTGAGTTTAATTATCATACTGGGCTTCTTTAAAGACATCCACACTTTTCTTTTTGTAGTCACTTTAAAAAAAAAAAAAAAGAAAGAAAGAAAGAAAGAAACAATATTATGTTCCCTGAAACATTTATTCATTATGCCTGGGGAAAAAAGGTGTCTTGTACCACAAAAGAAAAACCTTTGCTTCACTTACCTAGAGGAGGTCCATGTGTCATGAGAATGTCGATGCCCTCGGGAATGAGGTTCCATTTGTCCAGCAGAGACTGACCTCTGGGTAGGTTAAAGCCCCATCCATTAAACCACGGGGTCCTTGGAGGAGATAACACACATGTATGTCATCAGGCCAGGAGTGCCCCTTTCTGTCCTGCAATATCCCTCTCTCCCACATCCCCCCAGGTTTGCATGGCTCTCTTTTCTCCTTTTGATGATTGGCCCTGGCAGCGGGATGCTTTTTTGTTGACCGCTTCAAAACCAATCCATCGGAGAGCCGGTGTGGAGCCTGCAAACGGTTCAACTAGAAAGGGGCACACTAGCCTTTGAGGTGGAGACTTTTCCAGCAGACTTCCATCAAAATCTTCACAATGCTTTGTCTTCCCCCAAACTTCAGTGCTTCCTAAGATGCTCCGCCCAGATCCGAAGCATTCCCACCCTTCCTAGAATGCCTCAGAGCTAAGACATTCCATCAGTAATACCTCTTTTCCCCATCACTGTGGAACTACTTCCCCAGAAAGATGCTCACTAAAGTCCTTGGAGAGAGGGACAAGTGCTCTGAAGGCAGAAACCGCTGTATGTGGAGAACACCTTGGACTGGGAATGCTGGGAAAAACATGGGGGCTCAGGGGTGAGAAGGGGCACAGTGAACAAAAGGCCAAGGTGGAATTTTCTTCCTGTTACCAAAGGGAAGATTTCTGGGGGCATCCCTGGTCACTCTAGAATCTACTCTCCTGACAGTGAGTGTGAGCAGTGGCCCCTCCACCCCTAGGAACTTGTATTTCTAGAAATGAGGTTCTGGGATCAATGCTACTCGGGTGGGGTGAGAGAGGGCAGTATTTTTATCCATCCAATGAGCATTTCTAACTGGACTGAAAATGTCCCTACCATTTATCATTAACAGGAGAATGACCAATTTTTCTCTACAAATACCACAGGCTAAATGACATCAGAACAGAGCAGTTCCCAATGCTGTCCTATTCCCAAACACCTAGCTATAACCATTAGTTTTGAAACCGATTCTTTGGGGCTATAGGAAAATTCCAATTTGCTACAGCATACATATAAAAGACAAGTTGGCCAATTTTCTGGTTTAGCCTTTCCTCCTTCAGCTTAAGCTGCCTCTTCCATGCCTACCGAAAGAGGTAAGCCCTGAGTACAAAGTCACCTGGGCAGTCACAGCTAATTAATTACACAAGGTGCATTCTTATTCAAAGCCAGTCTTGGCCCAGACCAATCAGCTTCTCTCAAGACTCTGAACTCTGACCCAGCATTTATTTGGTGGTGGACATGCGTAGTCAAGGCAACTAAAAGCCATGTAAAAGTCCATGTTACAGGTGAGAATCTCAGTTCCCCGATGAGGTTTGAGAGAGAAAGTTCCAGAGATAGAGACTGTGAGAAAAAGAGAAACCAATTAAGTATCTGGTTCCTAACTGCTTTCCAAGTTCCTAAGCCATCCTCAGGAAGTTATTTGTAATAACAATAGTAATACTATAACAATAATAATAATTATTAAAGCTCTTTTTAAAAAAAATATATTTTATTGATTTTACACAGAGAGGAATTGAGAGGGACAGAGAGTTAGAAACATAGATGAGAGAGAATCATCTATCAGCTGCCTCTTGCACACCCCCTACTGGGGATGTGCCCGCAACCAAGGTACATGCCCTTGACTGGAATCGAACCCGGGACCTTTCAGTCCCCAAGCCAACGCTCTATCCACTGAGCCAAACCGGTCCCGGCAAAGCTCTTTTTTATTGAATGTTTATGTCACTGTACTATAAAGCACTTTATCTATATTTACATATTTAAACCTCACTACAAGCTCATGATGTGGGTACTATGATTAACCCCATTATACAGATGAGAAAACTGAGGCCCAGAGATTTCAAGTAAACACAACCAATAGATTGGATATAAACCCAAGCAGACTGGTTCCAAAACACATACTCTTAACTACCATGCAATTCCTGTTTATATACTACCTGAATTAACTTCCAACTTTCTGGCTGTGGGCGACCCTTTTCTGTACTCTTTCAAGGTTGAGTGTTTTGTTGCTTGAAGCCAAATGCCTTCTCAACTAGAATAATATATCTATGGTATGGTTCTGAAATCCAGCAATGAGATGGTGAAATAGACAGCAGTAAGATGGTGCAGTGGACACCAACGGTTTTGCCTGTTCAGCTTTTTCCTCTTTCTTTTGGTAACAGCATCCGAATTGCCTGGGAACTGTCTTAGCCACCACACAAATAACCTGGCTTGAAAATCAAACCACCGCCAAGAAAGCCGAGAAACAGAACGCCTTGATGACTCTGTTGGACATGGGGATCAAGTCAGCCACATGTTCCTCCCAAGTGCATAAACCGGAAAAAAACAAAACAAAACAAAACAAAACAAAACAAACGCTTTCTTTTTAGCAGCTTAAGTCAGATCCTGCTTCTTGCATCTCAAAGAGACCTAATACGTATTGCATTTAATGTAAAAATGACCTGCGTGCCTACAATAGGCAATGATCTCTCCCCACTCCCAAGATGGTTTTACCTTTCATGGCAAAGGGGAATTAAGGTTGCCATGGAGTTCAGGAGCTAATCAGCTGACCCTGAGTGAGGGCAATTATCCTGGGTTACTAGGAGGCCCGGTGGAGCCACAAGGATCCCTGAAAGTGGAAGAGGGAAACAGGAGGAGATTGAGTGATGCAGGTAAGAAGGACTCAACCTGCCGTTGCCGGCTTTGAGGCCGGAGGAAGAGGAGCACAAGCCAAGGAATGTGGGCAGCCTCTAGAAACTGGGGAAGATAAGGACAGAGAAGGAATTCTCACACGGAGCCTCCAGAAAGGAACCCAACCCTGCTGACTCCTAGATTGCAGCCTAGCGAGACCATGTCAGACCCCTGTAAGGTCATAAATACGTGTTGGTTTAAGCCACTATATTTGTGGTGATGTGTTACAGCAACAATAGGAAACCAATACAGTATGTAAAATGTCTGAGCTGGCTATAGAGTTCAGGGACTGAGTGGCCCTGGCCTCATGTACTACAAAGCATGTTTAATCAAGGCAGCCCTTCCACAGGCCTCGCTCAGTTAGATGCAATGCAGATGGTTTCCTCAGAGGAGAAGGCAGTGCTGACTTTCTTAGCCAGTCTGCCAGGGAGGCACCAGGCATCGCAGGCCTGCGGACGATGCCAGGGAGATCCTTCCAGAGTTCAATCAGTCCGTCCCGTTCTCTCTCGTCTTCTAGGCCTCCCTGCCTGCGGAATCTGATACATTTTTATTAGGGTCTAAAAAAGCAGAGCTTTCCCAGTTTGAGATGCCCATCCTTCCCCTGCATTTGACAATGACCCTTTTCCATGATTTGTCTTAAAAGGAAAAAGAAAAATAAGAAAAAAGGCAAGTTTAGAACCCAATGAAAACTCCAGTAAGCATTTTGGCCCACGGGAGAGAAAAATAAGCAAAAACATCTGTTCTCCTAGATTTTGAAAACAAGCTTCTGGGTCTCTGGTCCCTGCCTGAATGGCAAATAAAGAAGAATTTGAAAGCGCCCCAAGCACACCCAAGTCGTTGGTACAATGAGGGGCTCTGATTTCGCTGCCAGGGTCTGTCTGCGGGCAGCCTCCGAACCCCCACACCATCCCAGGGGCTTCCAGCCTCAAAGAAACAGGACTTCATTTTTTCAGTCTTTCCAGTTTTCTCCCACAGAATTTTTTTTTCTTAGAAACCCACAGCCCTGTCCCCCCAGGAAATGCTCAGTTTTACAACTGCACTGCAAAAGATTATGACAGACCCATGGTCTACAGACGCCCAAATTTCATTTGGCTAAGGTTAAGCTTGTGACAAAACCCAGGAGTTCCCAAGTGAAGGGTCCATCTCAGAAATGCCTGGCTTTTATTTGGCCTCAAACCTGTATGTGTACGAGAGCAATAGGGAATTAAGTTGTAGGAAGGGGAACATTTATCAAAGCCCTGATATGCTTTCCATAGAGGTTTTGCATGGACTATTAAATTTGATTTCTCACGACAATCCTTGAGCTAGGTATTAACAGCTTTATTTTTAGATGGAAAAAAAAAAAAAAAAAGCTGACGATTAGTAATGTCATGGAACTTGCAAGCTCGGATTTAAATCCAGATCTGCTAGCTCAAAAGCCTGTGCTTTTTCCTTGCACAATACTGAAATAAAATCGTGTAGCCCAATTCCAGTTAGGATATCACTCCTGTAAAGTCAAAACAGAGCTGCTCCATACAGTCTCTCAGGCTGGGCACTGTACAACCCCGGAAAGCGCCTGGCATCGTAAAACAAAGTGTGACTTCAGCAATGTTGCTGTGGCTTTTCTGGGATTTTTTTTTGTACCTCTAGATCAGGGGTGGGGAACCTTTTTCACTGCTGAGGGCCGTTCGGATATTTATAACATCATTGAAGGGCCATACAAAATCATCAACTTAGCCTAAACCAGCTTGGCTCACTGGATAGAAGGTCGGCCTGCAGACTGAAGGGTCCCAGGTTCGATTCCAGCCAAGGGCATGTACCTTGGTTGTGGACACATCCCCAGGAAGGGGTGTGCAGGAGGCAGGTGATCAATGCTTCTCTCTCATTGATGTTTCTAACTCTCTATCCTTCTCCCTTCCTCTCTGTAAAAAAAATCAATAAAATATTTTTAAAAAATTATCAACTTAAAAATTAGGCTGCTATATTTGGCCAAATGTTTAAGTAATTCACCCTAATGCTTTGGCAAATATACAGCCCCTGGGCGGGACATCCCCCACCCCTGCTGTAGATCCTTTAGGTACGGCCTTTTCCACAAGACATAGGCCAGGGAATGGGAAAAGCAGCCCAGGGGTGGGTCCCAGTGTTATCCCAGCTTGGCACAATAAATGGGGCATACAGATGTGGGGAGACCCGGGTGCTAATTCTCCTTCTAGGGTCAATTCACTAACTCACGTGGACCTTAAAGAAGGATCCCCCACAGGCCCTTTTCCTCTTCTGAGACATGAATGAGTGGGTGGGTTTGATTACTGCTTTTCAGGATTGCTTTTAGGTTGCAGACATCCTTTGCAGAAGCCAGTACCCAAAGCAGGTACCAGCAGGGGCGCTGTTGCTTGGGGGACTCG